CATTTTATATGTTGAGTTTTACATGAGATATAACCATTTTTGGACATATAATTCAAGGAGCCATAATTTTAATGTCCTAGTCTAGCATGCCATAAACAAGAATCAGACTCAACGATGTAAGCAGAAACATAATTTATTTCATTAATACTCAATTTGAACATGCCGTTACAGTTATAGCCTTTTCCAACAAAAACACCATTCTTAGACACTATTACATGATCAGACTCAATAACTATCTTGAAGCCTTTCTTTGACAGCAAAGCAGCGGACATTAAGTTTTTCTTCATATCAGGAACATGATACACATTCAGTAACGTCAACTTCTGGCCAGATGTGAAGTTAATCTCAATACTTCCTTTTCCAGCAACATCTGCCGCAACATGGTTTCCCATCAAGACTTGTTCAGAATCCTGCACTTCTGCATATGTCTTGAACATCTTCTTGTCATAACAGACATGAATAGTAGCACCCGAATCTAGCCACCAGTCTTGAGTATTTGTAGCAGCGGTAGCCACATTCAACTCTGTGACCATACCAATTTGCATTGCGGAAACCATGGCAACCAGTCCTTGGGCAGAATTTTCCACTACGTTTGCCTTTTCAGAATTTCCAGATTTTTTAATCTTTCCAGACTTTTCGGTATTGCCTGCATTGAAATTTATTCCTGCCTTTCTATATCTGCAGTCCCGAATCATATGGCCTTTCTTTCCACAATGATGACAACTAAAGTTCTTTCTCTTTTTAAAAGAAGACTTTTTGGAAACTTTCAGATGTTTGTTCCCACTTCCTGAATCATTCTGACTGATAATAGCCATATATATCATAACGATCATCCGTAAAATAAATACAATTAGGCTTGATTCCAGGAAACTGAGAAGCTTGGACAGAGAGAGATGCATTAGCACCCAAAAAGATAGCTCTGTCCCCTAATTCTTTGGTTTCCGTCAATTTTCCAGCAGCAATATCCAATTTGTAAACTCGAAAATATCTTGTCTCAAAAGTTAGCTGCTCATCGGATCCCAAGACCTCGTCATCATAAACTTCATAATCATTTGGGATTGGTGTCATTGGAATCCTGGACTTAGACAGACCACCATGTCGCGCAACTACAAATAATGATCCTAGTGATTCTACTTCATCTCCAATCTGATCTAGTGGCAACCGAGCTACTTTTTGAGCCATTGGGTCAGCACCAGTAACATCGCGAACTAATACGTGGACTAGCCACTGAACTGCATAAAATTTGCCATTAAAGTAGACCACATCACGATGAAGAGCCGGATTGTCTTCTTTCATAATCCGGGTCCATCTCAAATCTCCTGGCCTCCAAAAACTGAGGTATTTGTTATTTGCCTCAATGACCATGAGAACGTAGTCTGATGTTTTAGAAGGACTAGCCGACAAAACTGTCTCGTGAAAGAAGGTCCATGGATCGGCAGTCAGTTGGCAATTGTAACCTTTGGTGGTATTTGGATGCGGCAGTTGAATCTGAACACCGGAGAAGGGATGCAGCAGAGTAATTTCACCCTCGTCTTTCCCCGCTGCGATAAGCCATCCCATAGACTCCATACACCGCTTTCCTCTAGCATTTGGAATCCTCTTCTTTAAAATCATGCCATTATAGAGGCTGAAGAACTTTCGACATGTATTAGCCTCACCACCTTCTTCCTTGTTATCCTCTTCCTCAGCTAACGTAAGCCATGGAACCCTAGGCAGATCACTGTTAAAATTGTTCTTAGTGGCCGCAAACAGCAGCGAAATTAAGATAGTCTTCAATCAAATTCAAACGCATAGCTACGTGAACCAGCACATCATACTGAAGTTCTGACCAATTCGCCATTTTCGTGTTTTGTGCACAAGCCGAAGTTTGTTCCTGATAAAAGAAGCCCTCTTTTCTTCTTTTGCTTCAAAATAAGATATTTCAACTATGACATTCAGAATGCAATTAACAGGTTGATAATAGTTGGAATATTTCAGACAATATCCAATCCAATATGCATTCAAATTATGTTTACATAATCCAATTCATATTCATGTAATGCAATTAAAAGGTTGATAATAGGAAATTCAAGCATCATGCAATTAGATATTTCGGAACAGAATAATTTCTAAAATCTTTCTAAATATTTGGATCTTTGTGACAAATTTTAATAAATGTGTCTAAAAAAGGTACTCCTATTATTAAAAGAAAACATACAATTTTTTAAGTAACTATTGATGAACTTTTCAGTGAAAAATACTATCATCATCTATACTTTATATCTATATCTATACTATATTAAAAGCACGAAGGTCCTTAGCGAAATATCGTTGTCTTTTTTACCTTTTGAAAATAGAGTTCATATTTGACAAAACAGTCATTTAACTGTTTCTCCTAATATTTAGGGACAGTCATGTAATTATTTCCTAATATTTCAAAATAGTCATTTAATTATTGTTCTAATATTTAGGACTTAGAAATTAATTAAATTTTATATTAACATAACAATTTAACCGATTAATTCTAGATATTTTAGGTAAAGTTTCGAGCCTTTCAATTTTTAGGACTCTCCAAATTACTAAAAAGTTAGAAAATAATGTTAGTGTTTCATTTCACGAATAATTTACTTATTCAATAAAAGGTCCTTTTGTTTGTATGTATATTCTCAAGAAAGTCATGAGAATGATATCGGAATTTATGTTTCTTGTTTGAATTTTAGGTGAAAGTTTATGGTTTCGTGTGAATTTATGATTTCTTTTGTTCGCTGCATTGTGTAAATCTCCTTATTTTTCATCTTTTTTCTGATTGAAACGATACTTTTAGTTAGTAAGTTAGTAAGTGGATCTTGAATCTTTTTGTTCAATCTTTGTGACCAGTGTGTTGTTACTAAAATAAATTAAATTTGCAAAGCAGATGTATTAAATTATACAACAATGTTTAAAAAAATTAAATTTAGAAAAATAGTTTTTGGATAAAATTTCTTTTAAAAAATTTTCAACGCTTTTTCCTTCTCTTCGGACTTCTATTATTGCGTCCTTTTTTTGGCTCAAAGGAAAAAATTGTCATCTTCCTATGGCAGGAATTTCTATTAATCTATCTAAAGGTCACAAGAATAAATCTGAAAGTGCTAATTTAGCGTCTGTAAAGATTGATCAATGTTATGAGGCTATTTCTCACAATCTCTGTTTGAGATGAATAAAATGCATCATATTTTTTTTTTTGAGTTTTTCTTTCTGCGTTCGGAAGAAGCAAACAAGAATTAGACTTCAATTG